GCAGATCGCTCGACATCGGCCGATGGCGGGCCGCTGGCGGCGCTTTCGAGCTTGCACGCCCGAGCCGGGGTCGCCGCCGCCTCAATGCGGCGAAACACCGACCAGGCAGCGTGTGAAACATGCTGCGCCGTCATGGCGGCTGGCTTACATCCGGCGGAATACAGGACTGCGCAAACCTGCGCTCTGGGAGGCCCGCGCGGAGCTCCGAGACCTGCGCCGGGCCCACCTCCCTGGCGCGCCAGGCGGAGCAGGTGGTCGCCGAGGGTGAGGCCGCGGAGGGGTGCCGAGGGTGAGGCCGCGGAGGGGCTCCCTGGGAATGCCTGGGGACACTAGACGAGCGCGCTCCACTACTCGCATGCTCGCAAATGGCCTGAATACGCCGCGGGGGATCTGCGATGAATTACACCAAAGCCGACACGTGATTTTCGGACATTTGCGAGTAGGCACTTTGCGAGTCGTGGAACGCGCTCGGAGAGACACCCTGGGCCAGGGACACCTGGTGCCGGGCAGAGGGAGGCAAAGCTGCATAAGCATAGACTGTCGGCGGCCCGGGCCTCAGGGGGCGGCACCGGAGGTGCCGCCAGGGGGTGGGGCTGAGTAATTATCGTTTAACCGATCCCCATCCCCAGCGGCGTAGCCTGGCCCCACTGGCCGATTTACCCCCCTAGTAGATGGGGATATAGGTCGTTCCCTTCGTGTTTCGAGGGGTGTATCGCCAACTGGGGTGGTACTTTGGTGGGGGTCTCGAAGGGGATGGGGATAGGGATTGGGGTCGGTTAAACCATACTGAGGGGCAGCGTCGACCCAAGAAATCCGCCCGTACCTCCGTCGAGGACGCACGAACCCCGGTCAGCGCCAACCCGGGAACCTGGGCGGGCCACGCGGGCGTCGAAAACAAGCGGGCCACACGCGAGATGACGTATTGACCCTACGCAGCGGCTCGCGCGGGCCGCCAGCGCGGCACGCCACGAGGAAACCAGGGGCGCTCACGCGCGACCTTCCTCGGGCAGCTCACGCGCCAACGTCGGCGCAGAGGGCCTCGGCTTCTCACGGGGCTCACATGGCAGCTCCCCGGCCCTGCGCGAACGAAGGCCGTGTCGCGGGCCCCGGGCGGGCCACTCGGCAGCTCTCCCCATGCCGCGGCTCGGACCTCCGTTCCCCGTGCCTCCTCTCGGCTTCGTGCGCTTCCTTCTCGCAAGATGGTCCCAGATGCTCCTCGATGGTCGCCGCCGGGAAAGGATGCACATGCTCGAGCGATGCCAAGAGCAAAGGGGATCGGAGGGGCATCTGCGCTGACCTCCGTCTGCGCCGACCCCCGTCGCCTGCCCGGACCCCCGACGGCGCGATCGTGCTCACACCAGCGAGGACCTCCAGAGGGCTCGACCCGATCCTGGGCGCCAGCTTGCAGGCGAACCTTTTGTCGACGATCCCAGGGCGTGATCTTCAAAGACTCGCGCCGTGACTTGTCCACGACGCGAGGGAGGTCAGGGTGCGCCTCCCCCCCGCCCCTGCGCCCCAAGCCCGATAGAAAATCATGCCCATGCCATGATTCAGACAACAAAAAGCTACGTAAGCCTAACGTCTCGGGGATCCGCGCGGATCCCTTGGATAAGCGACTGGGCCCCCCTAGAAGGGCCTCTGGTGCCACTGGCGCGCTCCGCGCGCCAGGGAGGGGGGGGGGTCCAACGCCGATCCGAGAAATCCGCGAGGATCTCCGAGATATCATGTTTGTGCATATTCTTTGTTCTTCGAGTCGTCTGCTCTTCTCTGCCGGGGCCGCCTGATGCAACTCCGCGTTGTAGGACAGCACCCTCATGAGCATCGCTTGACCGATCCCTGTCCCCAATGGCGTGGCCTGGGCCCCACTGGACGATGTAGCCCCCCCAGTCAAAAAGATGGGCCGCTCCCTCCAGGTCTCGAGGGGCCTGTTCCCAACTTTGGCGGTGGGGCAGTGGGGCTGATCTACTACGTGTGGGCCTACTTCGTACATTACCTCCGCTACAGATCAAGGACGGCTGACCCATGGTCAGGATGCTCCGCGGTGGCCCTCGCCGAGAAAAGGTGCACACGCCCGAACGGTGCCGCCAAGTAGTAGGTCGGGCCTGTCCCCCTACAGGGGGGGTTCGGACGAAAATTTCAAAATACCCAAAATAATTCGCTAAAATTGCTCAAACATACTTTTAAAATGGTCCCCAGACTATTTTTGGACTACTTTTGGATACTCCTCCTGTGGAGGGACAGGCCCGTGTACGAAGGACCCCATGACTTTTGCGACCGACATTCTATAGATCCGACCTCGTGTTTTTTTCAATACTGGACCCCCCGCAGTCTCGACCCATTCCCCAGGACCGGTCTCTCATCCTGAGTCGTTTTCTGACAGCCCCGGGGCCCGGGGCCCGGCGAGGGCCCGAAGAGGCCGAAAACTACGAAAAACCTCGCCGTCTTGGCTCCTTCCATACGTGGGATCTCTGGGCAAGCGATGCTGACCTCAGCCGCGTGCCCCCGCCCCGCGCCGCCGGGCGCCCGATGCGGGGCCACCCCGGCAGCGCGCCGGGCGGGCAGCCGTCCCAGCGGCCCCGCAGCAGGCCGCCCTCGGCCGTCGGCCCGGTGCAGGCCTCGCGGTAGTCCGGGCAGCAGCTGCCGTCCTCCTGCCCCAGACGCAGGGCTTTTCCCCACATGCTTGGTGGGGTTCTGGCCTTCTTCCCTCCCGCGTCGCTCCCGCGTCTTCCTCCCTCCTCCCCTCCTCCCCCTTCTCCTCCTTCCTCCCTCACCCACAGCACAGCACAACACAGCACGGCACGGCGCACACATACACATACACACATGCACACAGACACACAAACACCCCAGACGTCGGGCGTCAAGAAATCGAGACGCAGGCTTTGCATAATTGATGGCCTTTCGGGGCCCTCGCCGGGCCTCGGGACCGTCGACAAAAAACAACTCGGGGAGAAAAACTATAGTCCTGGGGAAGTGGTCGGGAGGTCGGGGGGGCCGCCTCGAACACGTCGAGACGTCGGCTGTTGGGGGCGACGGCGTCGCGAGCTGAGCGGAGGCCGGCGCTGCGGTGTCTCTGCTCGTTAGGGGCCGCAGGTCTTTGCGTCGCCACGGCGGGGCGCGGCCGGCCCGTCGTGGGCTCCGTCCCGAGGCCTGCGGGGGCCGAGGGGTAGGGCCGTGGCGCCTCGGTGGTCTTTGAGCAGGGGCCGGCCGTCCCGGCATTCCCATAGTCCTACAGAACTCGACGTAACTAGTCATCTTCCATCCGCCCATAATTAACAGGGGAACCAAACATTGACGTAAACAGTAACTTTCGGAAGTCCGTGCGGATTTCTCGGATCGGCGCTGGACCCCTCCCTGGCGCGCGAAGCGCGCCAGGGGCGGCGCCAGAGTCGCCGCCAGGGGGGGCTCCAGCGACGATCCGAGAAATCCGCGTGAACCTCCGAGAGGCCGTTGCGGCCTCTGGATACTCTCACCAAGCCCCGGGCCGTCAAGAGAGGCGCGAGATGCAAAGCCGGTCCCCTGGGGGAATAAAGGGTCGGGGCTTCTATGGGGCCTCGTACAGTCAACCCGCATAGCAAAGATGGGCTACCTTCCCCAGGGTACCCTTGCATCCTCGCCTCCTCGGTCCTTTTCCTTCGCCGCTGTCGCTGGCCGCGCCCCGCTCGAGAAGCCTCGAGATGGGCGTGCAAGGCCCTTACATCCTCATCGCGCATCCTTACCATACTGGTTGACTGTAGTGAAAAAGTCCGCTCAAGGCACGCCTGGGACCAGGGCGCCCAATCTCGCGCTGCGCGCGCCGCCATGAGCGACGCGCGCCGACCTTCGCGCGCCCGCGCCGCCGCCCCCAACTTGGGGAAGGGCAGCCGATCCAGCCGAGACCGCGAAGCGCGACTATCTTCACGCCCCTGGGGCTATGTTGTTTCCATCGTACACTCGACCGGGATAGCAAGGATGCGCGGTAAGGATGCAGGGGTGTTGGAACGCCATGTTGACGTTTTCCGTGCGGAGCGCAGCAGAATGCCGAAGGATGCCGAATACCGAAGGGGCAAGGATGCAAGGGTAGCCTTGGAAAGTTGCCCCATCCCTACCATCATGGTTGACTGCACTTGAGGACCACATCCCAGACATCATCTCGAGCACTCAGAGAAACGTGTCGAAGGAGTGTCGAAGCAGTGTCGAAACCCCTGGGGGTGACTCAAAGAAGCCCTGGGGGGGACTCCGAAAGACCGCACAAATCGTTGACCTTCGGAGCTCCGCGCGGGCGCCTTGGACCGGCGCTCTGGACCCCCCTAGGGGGCCGCATGCGAACCCTGCCCCTATCCCCCCACGATTTCTGAGGGGGAGGGTGGGGTCCACTTCGCTCGGGAGCTCCCGAACGCAGTGAACCCCACCCTCCCCCTCAGAAGTCGTGGGGGGGAGGGGCCTCGCCATCGCTCGGACGTCCATTCCCTGTGTTTCTTTTCGGTTTCGTGCGAGGCGTTTTCGCCAAATGATCGAGGATGCTCCTCGATGGCCCTCGCCGACAAGAAAAAATGCACACGTCCGAGCGATGCCAAGGGGCAGGGTTCGCCTGTGGCCCCCTACTACCCCCCCCCCCCTGGCGTGGCGCGCGGAGCGCGCCAGGGGGCGGGGCGGGAGGCGCCGCGGGAAGGGGGGGGGGTCCCAGCCCTGGCCCAGGAGACCAGCGCGGAGCTCCGAGCGTGCATGCCTGCAGGGGGCAAGAATATACAGGGCAATTTTTAAGACATGGGATCTTTTTTTATATCGGATTTTAAAGCATGATCAATGTATGAATAGATTTGTGCACGAATTCACTGTTGGTTTTAGTACTAAATCCATGCAGTTGTAATACATGATCCGCACGCGGAGCATGTATTAACAACGGCACTGTAGGGAAACGAACTCTATACACCGACGCTTTTCCCGACCCTGCGCTGAGATTCGCACAGGGACGCGGATTCTGGTGTAGACGGGATCCTGGTGTATAGATGTTTCGTTGTGTCCCGTGGAGAACGGGGGAACAGTATTACGCCACACCACCCCGACGTCGTCCCTGACCCTCCAAAAGTCGTGGGATTGAAAAACAACCCGCCACTGGTAAGGTATATGTTCCAGTCTGCGAGAATACCCATCCCGCTGCTCCCGTAGGAAAACACACACACACAAAACAAAAACACTCAAAAATACACACAGTGGGAACAAGCACACAGTGCGTTTTTGTGCGAGTTTCTTCCCACAGTGTTTTTTTTTGTTGTTGTGTGTGTGTGTGTGTGTGTGTGTGTGTGTGTGTGTGTGTGTGTGTGTGTGTGTGTGTGTGTGTGTGTGTGTGTGTGTGTGTGTGTGTGTGTGTGTGTGTGTGTGTGTGTGTGTGTGTGTGTGTGTGTGTGTGTGTGTGTGTGTGGTGTGTGTGTGTGTGTGTGTGTGTGTGTGTGTGTGTGTGTGTGTGTGTGGTGTGTGTGTGTGTGTGTGGTGTGTGTGTGTGTGTTGTGTTGTGTGGGGTGTGTGTGTGTGTGTGTGTGTGTGTGTGTGTGTGTGTGTGTGTGTGTGTGTGTGTGTGTGTGTGGTGTGTGTGTGTGTGTGTGTGTGGTGTGTGTGTGTGTGTGGTGTGGTGTGGTGTGTGTGTGTGTGTGGTGTGTGTGTGTGTGTGTGTGTGCTGTGTGTGGTGTGTGTGTTGTGTGTGTGGTGTGTGTGTGTGTGTGTGTGTGTGTGTGTGTGTGTGTGTGTGTGTGTGTGTGTGTTTGTGTGTGTGTGTGTGTGTGTGTGTGTGTGTGTGTGTGTGTGTGTGTGTGTGTGTGTGTGTGTGTGTGTGTGTGTGTGTGTGTGTGTGTGTGTGTGTGTGTGTGTGTGTGTGTGTGTGTGTGTGTGTGTGTGTGTGTGTGTGTGTGTGTGTGTGTGTGTGTTTGTGTGTGTGTGTGTGTGTGTGTGTGTGTGTGTGTGTGTGTGTGTGTGTGTGTGTGTGTGTGTGTGTGTGTGTGTGTGTGTGTGTGTGTGTGTGTGTGTGTGTGTGTGTGTGTGTGTGTGTGTGTGTGTGTGTGTCTTTGTATGTTTTTTCCCACGGTCTCTTCTGGGGCGCCTCCTCTCTCCAGGACTCCGAGGCAGAGTCCGGCCGTGGCGACGGGAGCCGGCGCCGCGGCTCGTTTTCTTGTCCTCCTCTGCATGTTTTTTTTTGTTCTGCCGCGGCCGCTTCTCGTATCAGGCCGGGATCCTCGCAGTAGGCCCCACACCCGCACGCGCTCCACGTCCTCTCGTCGACGCAGCCGTACCTCCTGCTCGGAAGCCCGCAACGGGTACTGACAGAAGTGGGCACGATGCCCAGCAGCAAGCGTTGCCCAAAAAATCGACGGCGGCCGCTCTCAGGCAGGCGGCCCCCTGCCTCAAGTGGGCAGCGTCCGCAGTGACGCCGACAGCGCATCCAGGTGAAACGAACAGTACCTAGACATGCGACGCCTCGATTTTTTCGATACGGGGTCCCTGGAAGTCCCGACCCTTTCCCCGGGACCGGTTTTTCATCCTGAGTCGTTTTCTGATGCTCCCGAGGCCTGGCGAGGGCCTGCCCAAACCCCCCCCGTCTGGACTTTTTGACGACGCGATCAGGCCCGGGGGGTAATTCACTGCTGTCGGTCTCCGCGCCCACTCTCTCCGTGCCCGCTTCGGCCGTGCCGATCCTGCAGCCGAAGGCGGCCGCGGCCCCCGAGGCGTTCTCCGCCGCCGCGGCCAGCTGCAGCGGGGCGCCCCGGCCCGCCCCCGCGGGGCCGCGCAGGGCCTGGCGGGCGCCGCCTCGCGGGCGCGGTGCATTCGGACTGTTTTTTCGCAACCGCTGGGAGCGGTTCCGTATCGCATCGGTCGGCGGAGGCAGGCAGAAACACACGAAGTAGGAAGGCGTTGAAACTACCCCCTCGCGGGCTCCTTGCATTCGGACTGCTCTCAGCCGCCAGGAGCGGTTCAGTAATTATCCCATCGGTCGGCGGAAGCATGTGCAGAAACGTGAAGTAGGAAGGCGCTGAAACTGGATTGGGCGTCCGCCCGCCCCTGAAAGAGGACGGAAAGGGCGAAGCCACCCGATCATTGAAGTAGGAAGGCGCCTAACATAGATTGGAACCTGGGAATCCCAGAATGCCTAGTTTCAACGACCGATGGGTGCCGCTAGGGTCCTCGGCAGACTCGAGCTTGACACCAACAGTACGCCGCGGAACGGGAGACAGAGGTTCTGCCGAGAAACGTCCGTCATGACTCTGCGGCTGAATGGAGGCTGGCATGTATAGGAAGTTTGTTGAGAGAATGCAGGCACGGCTTGTGCAGTTCATCTCCAAGGCGCTCTGTCTCGGTGCCATTCAAGAGCGGTGCTTAGCACTCTTTCCCACAACCGCCAGCTGCATGCGGCTAGAGAGTGACCTCTGGTGCGCGGCCTTCGGTGGCCGATGGGGGGGGGGGGGGGGGCAAAGCCCAGGGCGCCATCCCCAGGGGGACTTTCGGGTCGGGCGAAAGGGGGGGATAGCAAAGGGGGGGGGAATCAGCTCACGTAGCCGATTCTCCCGGCGCCTCCCGGCGCCAGAGGCGGCTATGCATAGAGAAATGGGCCCCTCGGTGGGGCCGAAACCAGCTGCATGCGGCAAATTTCGTACCCCGCCCTTTCCCAATCCCCCCCTTTCGTCCAGCCCGAGACTTCCGCGGGCCCGCGCCAAGGCCCACGTGCGCCCAACCTCGGCCTCTCCGAGAGCTCCTGCCAGAGGGGCCTGTCAGCGTCATTGAAGGGGGAGACCTCCATCCCCGTCCTCCTCCCTCCTCCTCCCTCCTTCCACTCCTCCTCCTCATCCTCCTCCTCCTCCTCCTCCCTCCCTCCCTCCCTCCCTCCCTCCCTCCCTCCCTCCCCTCCTCCACCTCCTTCCTCCTCCACCTCCTCCTCCTCTCCTCCTCCTCCTCCTCCTCCTCTCCTCCTCCTCTCCTCCTCCTCGTCCTCCTCGTCCTCCTCGTCCTCCTCCTCCTCTTCCTCCTCCACCTCCTCCTCCTCGTCCTCCTCCTCCTCCTCCTCCTCCTCTCCTCCTCCTCCTCCTCCTCCCCTCCTCCCCCCTCGCCATTCTCCCCGCCCTCTCCCTCCTCCTCCTCCTCCTCCTCCTCCTCCTCCTCCTCCTTCTCCTCCTCCTCCTCCTCCTCCTCCTCCTCCAGCCCTTTCCAGTCTGGGTCGCCGCTCCAGTCCCCGCCCCAGTCTAGTCCCGTCTTCCGCCTCGGGGATCTCCTGACCCGGGTCAATATCCAGGCCCGGGTCAGCCAGGCCTGGTAGAATCCTGCAGGATCCTGCACCCAACCCCGGGCCCATGCGCAGGATCCTGCAGGATCCTGCAGGATCCCGTGCCCAAGCCAGGGTCAATATGCGACCCTGGCCCTGCAGGATCCTGCACAGCTCCCGACCGCCGCACAGCACGGCCCGCCCGGGACCCGTGCGGCGGCGTGCGGGGCCTCGGCAGCGGGGCCTGCAGGGACGCCGCGGGGACCACTCCGGACGCCCGGGAGTGCCCTCTGGCGCAGGGGAGCTCGACGCCACGGCATCGTCGGAGGGCTGCGCCCGGCAGCGCGGACAACGCGCGTGCCCGTGCCGCCGCGCCGAGGCCCTCTCCTGGTGCGCGTTCTGACCCGGACTCCGAGGCGACGGGGGAAGCGCAATTAGCGGCGGTGACTCGGTGCCCTCTCCTCCTCCGCAGCCCCCGGCGTCGTGATTCTTTCGTGGCATCGACCCCCAGAACACTGGACCCACTCCCAGGGCCTGGTTCTTAGTTCTTATCCTGAGTCGCTTCGCGACGGTCCCATACAGGGCCCAACGAGGGCCCCCGGAGGCCGAGCATGGCGACACAGTTGTCCGTCGTGGCTTTGTCATGCCTCGACGGGTCGGGGCCTGGGCGAGCCAACTGAATCATCGGAAACCACGGCCGAAACGGATCGACCTGCAAGAGCCCCATGGGGCCCGAAACGGGGCGAACACGCCCGGCTCGAACCCAGTGCGACGTCACGGTCGAAGGTTCTCCTGGGAGCGAGAGGAATGCCACAAACATAGACTTTGGGCGCTCCGCCCGCATTTTTGGGGATCTGCGCCGGACCCCCCTCCCTGGCGCGCGGAGCGCGCCAGGGGCGGCGCCGGAGGCGTCGCCGGGGAAGCCCCGCGCGGATCCAAGAAATCCGCGCGGAGCGCCAAAAGTTCATGTTCATGGCGTTTATCGGGCAGGGCGAAAGGGGGGGATAGCAAAGGGGGGGTTTGAGAATCAGCTCACGTAGCTGCTTTTCCCGGCGACCCCCGGCGCCGGAAGGCGCCCATGTATCGAGGAATGGGCCCGGCGGCGGGGCCAAAACAAGCTACATGCAGCAGATTTCGTAACCCCCCCTTTCCCAAACCCCCCCTTTCGCCCGACCCGCAGCTTGGCCCGGCCGCCGGCGGCGGCGGCGCCAGCGCCCAGCAGGGCGGCGACGGTTCGCCACGCGGCCCGCCCGCACGCCGCCGGAGCGGCCCGCGGCACGCCCTCGGCCTCCACCGCGGCGTAGGCGCCGCGCGGGGCGGCCGGGGCGGCCGGCGCGGTCATCGGCGGCGCACGCGCGGCGCGGCGGCGCGGCCGGCGTGGCTCGGCAGGGCGAGGACGAGGACGAGGACGCGGGCGAGGACGCAGGGCGATAGGACGCAGGGCGATAGGACGAGGACGCAGGGCGCGGAGAGCGCAGGGCGAAGACGAGGGCGCAGCGCGCGCGGCGCACCGTCGCGGCCTGGATTGCGGGGCGCGACCCCGCGGCCGCGGGGTCGCGCTCCCCAGGGGCCGGGCCGGCTCGCGGGGCCGTGAGGCCACGGGGCAACCCGCGAGGCCGCGAGGGCGCAGGGCTGCGCAGAGCTCCGATGCGAGGCGGGGATATACCCACATCCACCGCCTGGGAACCGACGTCCTGACTGATGTGGACATAATAGGTCCATATCCACCGCCTGCCGAGGCTCCGAAAACTGACCCTCCAGGCGGTGGTCATACAGTCATCGGCCTGACCTAGGGAACGATACATAAGGAACGAAGCCCCTTGCTTCAAAGGAATAACGCATAGGGAACGATACATACAGCATGCGAACCTAAGGAACGACCGAGCCCCTTTTGACTAGTAAGTGTTCCTTATCCAGGCCGCTCACTGTATAGAAATTCCCGCCTCGGATGCGAGGCCTCCCTGAGATCTGGGCGCCGCGACGGTCGCCCCACGGCGGACGGGCGTTTTCTCGCCGGGCTTCGGGCCCCTGGGGCCGTCACACCTCGATCCGGCTGGAGCAAGTGGCGCAGGGGTCGGGGATCTTCTGACCCAGGTCGATCCAGACCCGGGTCAGCAGGAAACCAACAACTGCAATGCAGGAACAAAAACTGCAACGCAAGGCTCCGCAAACCCGGGTCAGCCAGTATGCGTGGCCGCCTCGCGGCCACGAGCGGCTCGCTGACCCGGGTCAGCCGGAGGGGGTCTTCGCAGGATCCTGCAGGATCCGGTGCCCTGGCTGACCCCCGTTTGCATTGACCCCCGTCTCAAGGCTCCCGAAGGGGGATAGGGGCCTTGGGCTCCGGTTGTCGAGTCGGTCAGCATCGAGTCGGGAAGCGGGATCCATCGGCATGCGCGTCGGATCCGGGCTGCGTCGGCGCGGGATCGGGATCGAATCGCATCGTCTGCGCCAACAGTCGTACATAACAGCGCCATGCAAGCATCGGGCCGCAGATCAGGTCGTCGGAATGTCCGAATGAAAAGGTGGGGTTCTGGGCCAGGTGGGGTTGGCCGAGAAAATTGCCCTGGGCTCGCTTAGGATAAGCTGGCTGCCGCGTGCATGAGCATCCTCAACTACACAATGTGCAATTCGCTGTCCGCCCGAATACTCGCGTCGCATCATACGTCCGGGGTCCTCCCTGGGCTTCTGAGGGCCCTCTTGGGGCTCTTCTGAAGGGGCATGGGGCCCTATTGGGGCTCTCTGGACGGATATTCGGCGCCCGTTGGGGCCCTCGCGGGGCTCTCCTGGAGCCTTACGAGCGGCCGTGGAGGGGCTCTTGGAGTCATCTGGGACACATTGCGCACCGATCTCCGCGGGGCCGTCGGGGCCCAGAGACGGGCCCTTCAGCAACGCGTGCGCCGGATTCCCGCCCGACGGCAGACCTTCGCTGTCGACGGTCGACACGCGCTGCGGTCGTCAGAAACTGAAACTTCGACGGGTGGGTGAACGTGGCTTCCACTGCTGAAAGGGCCCTGGGACACACAAACAAATACACACAAATAAAAGGATTCCCCATATTTCCATATATTTTCTGGGTGTTTGTCTTCCCCCCCCCACTTCCCATATTTTTCCATATTTCCTGGGAGTCGACGATCAATCGTGTCTGTGTGTTTTTTTCCCTCCTGAATTGCGTGTTCCACATGCAGGGGCCCTACAACAACGCAGCTGTTGAAGGGCGAAGCCGAAACCCTGCCGGTTCGCCCCGGGGTGCCCACCGGAAGCGCGCCCCGCGGAACCCCCAGGGAGGGCGGCCCCGCCGAAGCCCTGCGGGGGCCCCGGGGCACTGCCCCCGACCGCCCGCAGCAACAGTCGCCCCACCCGCGGTGGCGCAGGAAGAACAATCGAAGCCAAGCCACCCCTCCATCGGGGGCGCGCGAACATGGACTAGCGATCCATGGATGAGGCGCGCGGTCGCAAGATCCATGGATCGGGGGAGGCGTCCTCCCCCAAATGCGGCCGGCGCCGCCTCGATGGGCGGCTGAGATCCGCGATTTCCCATGGAAGCGGACCCGTCGCTAATCCACGCCCCCTTCTGATCCATGTTCGCGATCGCCTGACTCCAGGAAACCCGCAGAACTCACGCAGTCGCCCAAAGAGCACGGATGACCTTGTCATATTGTTGTTTTTATTTTTGCGACGCGCGCCAACCGGTTTCCCCCTGGAAAAAGCCTTGAGGCCTGTCGAGACAACCTGGGGGCCTCTGGGGGTGCCTCTGAGCACCCCCCGCACCCCCCATGCCGCCGTCGCAACGCCCCTTGGAAGGGTGGGGGCGGGGGGCTCTTTCGGGGCCCTGTCGGGGCCGTCGAGGGACTCTGCTGGGCTTCTCGTGGGGCCCTCCGGGACCGATGGCCTCCAAGACGCTCCTGCGCGCCCTGCGGGAACCATGGCCTCCAAGACGCTCAAGATGGCCTCCAAGACGGCCCAAGAGCCCTCCAAGACGTCCTCCAAGAAGGCCCGAACGGGTCAAAATGACCTCCAGGCGGCCTGGATGACCTTCAAGATGCCCACGTGTTCCCCGAAGGCGTTCCAAACTGATTCGGGGAGCACATGGTCCGATAGCTTGGCAGGTCTGGCCTCGACGTTCGGCAACATAGGCGCTTCCAAAAAGGCAGGGGGCGGCGGTGATTCGCCGTAGGCGTCTTCGATATTGATACGGCTATACGTATAACCAGACAGAGGGCGCGGAGAGGAAGGAGGCCCGCCTTGGTTCCCAGGTGGCGATCGCCAACTAGCCGCTCCGAGGTGTTGTCGGCCCCGTCCTCGCTGGGAGCTCCTCCCAAAATTCTTTCCCCCCCTTCGTGCCCCTCCTAATCACTCCTCCCATTCCCCCCATCCCTTCCACTTCCCAGCCGCCTCATCCTCGTTCCCCTTCTGCCTCTCCGTCCTGCTCCTGCTCCTGCTTCTCCCTCCCATATCCATTCACCATGCTCCGTCATATCCCATCCCTGCTCCCTCCTCCCTCCGACCCCCTCCTCCTTCGTTCTCCTGCTCCCCCCTCCGCACTCACCCACCTCATATTCCCCCCCTTTTACTCCATATGCCAGCTCCTCCTCTTCCAACGGTGTAGCTCGCACGCGGGCAATGGAGAGGAGCTGGCGAGAGCGGCTGTACTCTCGCGCAGTGCTCGTCCAAACGCTTGGCGAAACGGCAACAACATCTGACCAATCAGCATATCTTCATGCACATGCATGCACAGCGTGTCTATGCACCTCGCGAGTCCACTCCGGCCTGGCCACGCGCGCGTGAAATAGTGCCTGATCATCCTTCCCCAGGTCACATAGTGCCTGATCATCCTTCTCCAGGTCCCCCTCGTTTCCTATCCCATCATGACCCCCCATTTCCCCCAACCTCCCCTTTACTCCCCCCCCACCCCGCCAAGTCCATCCAAGGGGTGGGGGAGTGGAGGGGGGGAGCGGAGAGAGGGAGGAGAAAGGGGACGAGAGGAGGGAGAGAGGGAATGCGAGAGGGAAGGCAGGGAGGAGAGCAGGGAAGGGCAATGGGCGGAAGGAGAGGCAACAAGGGGAACAAAAAGAGGACAAAGCGCGCACCTTTTCTTCCTCATCGTCCGCTCCCTCCCCCTCCTCCGCCCATCTCGTCAATCCTGTTCTTGTTCATCCTGTTGTTTCTCCTCCTCCTCCTCCGGATCCTCCTCCTCCTCCTCCTCCTCCTCCTCCTCCATGCCCTCCTCCTCCTCCTTTTCCTCCTGCTCCTCCTCCTCCTCCTCCTCCTCCTCTTCCTCCTCCTCCCTGTCCTCCTTTTCTTTTCTTTCTCCTCCTCCTCCTCATCGTCCTACTCCTTGTCGCCTTCGCCCTCGTCCTCCTCCTCGCCCCCGCCCCCCTTCTTCCTCCCGCTCCCCTGTTCCCCGTATTCTTCCTCCCACAAAACATCTCATGCCCCCTTCCAGGAGGAACGTCGAAAGCAGTGTCCAGCGGACGGGCCAAAGTTGCTGCAGATCCGTCTGGGTCCGAATCGTTCCAAGTGGCCTCGACGGAACCACCGCCTGATCAGGGCGCGGGCGCGACGGAGGGGATGGGACGAAATGGAAAAGGGGACGAGTAGGGGAGGAAGAGGAACTGAATTGCGGGTTTAGGGCGAAACGCACAACATCGCGACAATGGTCATAGGATGGGGGCGGTCCTTTTTCCTTCTATCGACTACATGTCACACGCACAGTGCAAGCCCGAATGGCAGCGGGCACGCACGCATGCCCCCCTTTCGAAGCGGGGCGACCTGGCAATGGAGAGCGTCCCTCCGCAACACCGACGCCACAGAAGAACACCCGCAAAGAGGTGCCAAAGCATTCGCCGCGATGCATTGGACGGTGGGCGCTCGGCACAATTCACCCCTGGCTCAAGAGCTTTAGTCTGAATGGGGCGTCGTGAACCCTGTCGGTCCATCTTCGGTCAGCACTTCCATGAGATGAGCTGACCATGAACAGGGTCGTGGATTGTAGCGGCACCCACCAGCCTAGTCTTAGGGCCCATTTAAACTGCGACCGGCCGAACATGCCTAACAGCCAGGAGCCAGGCACTGCTCGTGGGAGCCCAGGACAGATCGTACCCCGCGTGCGTTTACGGCGAGGCACTGGTCGCGCCTGCCAGCCAGGTGCGCTCCCTGGCTCTGCATATTGCACACTCCTAACGTAGCCACTGGCCTTCGGCACTCGTGCCGGCGGGCGCAGCTGGCGGTTGCGCCGCTTGCGCGGCTGCGCGGCAAGCAAACGCCCGCGCGACTCCATCCGCGCGCGCGCCTACGCAGCCCGTCAAGCTGTTTGCGGCAGTGTGTCTCTAGGTGCTAGCGCTTAGAAATCACGTCTGTTGACTGGTCCGCGCGTTGGCCTGGGAGACGCCGGGCGTCGCCGACGCGGCGCGCGCTGTCTTGGCGCGGCCGACAGCAGCGCGGCGTCGCGGGAGCCTACCTCGGCTTGTCGTAGCCGCCCCAGCGCCGGCGGCACAGCGCGGCCACGGTGCCAGGCCACTGCCGCGCATGCCGGCTTGCCTGTATGGAAGCGTGGCCAATGACGCAGCGCCGACCTGTGGCGGCGCGCTGCCGTGCCCGCGCCTCGCAGCGCGGGCGGGGCTGGGGTGCCGGAGCAGGGCGCTTGCGCGCAGCGCCTGTCGAGTGCCCGGCGCGCCGTGCCCGCCAGGGCCTCGCGGCGAAGACGCCCGCGCCGCGGCCGCCGCAGTGACAAAATAGCCTCGGCAAAACGCGGGGGCTCCGGCCAGCCACTGATGGCAGGGAGCGCCTTCTCAATGGTGGTCGCGTCGAACGCGGCCTCCGATGGGCGCGCGGCCGGGTCGCCCGAGCGGCGCTCGTCGCAGCCCAGCCGCCAAGTCCCCTACGCGGACGGCGCGTAGGGCTCAAACGTGCCCAAGCCCATCGGCGCGCGGCGGCGGCCGTCAAGACGCACGCGCACTCACGCCGGACAGCGCGCGCAGGAGGAAAGCGGGCGATGCCGCGCCAGGTAGGGGACGCGAGCAGCGCGTCCCGTCGATCCGTCGCAGGCGCGGCGGGGCCCGCGCTGCTGGCGGCCGAGCGGCGGGGCTGGTTCGGCCACTGCCTTTGCCCAAGCGGTGCAGTCGTGCGCAACCGCAGCTGCCGCGTCGTCTTGCGCGGCGTTATCGGGCCGATGACGGCGGGCCAGGTGGCTGATGTCGCGCGCCCGATCGACTCTAGGCGCGACCCGCGGTGCCCTCGCACAGGCACCGCGGCGCGCGTCGACGCGATCGCGCGCAACCAACCGCGCGACCGCGCGAGGGCGCAGTGTAGCACGGGCACGGCGCCGGCGCGCGTTGGGCAGCGCAACGCCGCGCCCCGTTCACCGCCATCGGCGAGTCAGCGCCCCCCTGGGCTGGCGCGGGGACGACGAGCGAGGAGTAAGGGCGCGATAACTCAAGGCTGGGCGCTGCGGCGCCGTGGAAAATGCACTGGCGCGCCAGACCGATCCTCGGCGGACTCAAATGTCCGAATCGGGCTTCCAGAAGATGTCTGCGATGAGGCCCCAGTCTCCATGAGAACGGCCCTCGTCGGTAGCAACGCCGCGGCGACTCGCCGCCTGCGGGCGCGACGTGGGCGGCGCGAGATCGAAGGCGCGGCGCCCCTGATGAAACGCCGCGCCGCGGAACTGCGCAGTCTCTCCGGGTTCACGTGCGTCCGCGTCTGCGAGCGGTTGCTTGAGAGTTGCACGGAACGGTGGCCCTGCGATGCGGCCGTGGAGGCGGTGCTGTGTTCGCATCCATCTCGGCCTTGCACGGGGCCACCATGCCCCCCCCCCCCGGTCTTCTCCGCCGTAGCGGTGAAATCCGAGAGGTCCCTGCTCGCAGTGCCGGGCGTCTCTGAGCCCAGCTTCTCGCGGCCCACGCGCGCGACGCACGCGACGCGCGCGACGTGGCCGAAGTGGACCTGCATCGCAACAGAAAAGGAATGCGCTGCGGAATATCTACTGCATCTACTGGGCGTTCCTTTGACGGCGCCACTAGGCACCAATGCGGCGCGCGTGTTGAACTGCGCTGGGCGCTCTGGCACAGCGTCGCGGAACTGGCGCGGATCGCCTCGCCGATGACGCCGATGTTCCTCTCCGCCCGACGGGTGTCGAAAATGCCCCAGCGCGCCGCTCAAACCGCCGCGCGCGTAGCCGACGATGAAGTGGCAGAGGTAGATACGAACGACGGCCAGCAGAGTGACGACCATGATCACGTTCACGTCAGACGATGTCCTGGCCGTGCGTCAGGCGCGCCCCCGCGCGGCGCGACGCGGCGGCCGAAATGTCCACCCCGACGATCGCGACGCGGAAGCCGATGTCGCCCCAGCGAAGGCGGGCGCAGACGCGTCCATATTCGTCGGGGCCGTTTGGGCCGCGGCGCGCGCGCTGACTGTCGCCGCGCTGCGCAGTGGCACTAGGCCCAGGCGCAGCGGCGGTTGCGCGGCGGGTTGCGGCCAAGGCCAGGGCGGCGCACGCGACGGCGAGGATGGCGGCGCAGTGCTTACACTGAGAATGCCAGCGTATCGATCCAAGTCCGCAGATTCTGAGGTTGTCAAAGTTGCATCAGATGCATCCTGGACATGGCCTCGAGGGCTAAGCAGCGCCGCGCGCGCGCGGTGCGCGCGGGCCTCGGCAAGCGCGCGCGACGCCAGGGGCTGTCGAGAGGAAGGCGCCGGAACAAGCGACTGCGCGCCTGGCCCAGCGCCGCCGCAGGCAGGGCGCCAGAGCACGAGACGGTGCACCGGGCGCCCGGCAGCTCCCAGGAGGGCGCTGGGGCAGGCCACGGCGCCGCGCATCCATGCCGCGCTGGAGCAGGCGACGGCGCACGGCTCACCCAGCTCCGCCGAGAGGGGGGCGCTGGAGCAAGCGATGGCGCACCACCGCGGGGGTGCTGTAGTTGCCGCGGTAGCATTGGCGGTCGGCATAACAGCCGTCGTGGTAGTCGCCGATGCCGTTGCTGCGTTGCTATGGTGATACCTGTGGCGGTAACCCACGTGGCCGTCGCTGTGGTCACGGCTGTCGTGGTCGACGGTGTGGCCGTCGTTGTTGCCGTGCCAATTGTGGTCGGCGGTGCGGTCGCCGCTGTCGTCGTAACAGCTGCGGCCCACTTGCGTGGGCCGTGCGCAGACGTGGCCCGCTTGCTGCAAGTGCGGTTGCTGGATGCGGCCGCGCATGAGCGGCGCGCTGTGCAGCTAGACAGGATGGGCCGCCGCGGCGACGCACGCTGGCGGCCTGGCCCGGGCGGCGGCGCGCATGGCGCCAGCGCTGGCGCGCGCGTCGGGGCGCAGCGGCGTCGCGCACCGCGCTGCGGCGCATTGCGCGGTCGCGTCGTGGCGGCGCGGCCTTGTCGCTCGCCCTGACAGCGCGCCGCGTCGGCGCGCGGCGCGGCCGTGCAGCGGCATCGCGGCGCGCGAGAACGCGCGCCACATTCATGCGGGCGCGCCCGCGCGCCCTTCCGGACCGACGTTCGGGCAGAGACGCCGGGCAGAAACGCCAGGTTGGCCCCGCACCTCTCGCGTCGGAGTCGCAGCCGACCGTCGACGCGGCAGCGCCGCGCGCGCGCGAGCCGTGGCGGCGGCATGCGGCCGCGCGTTCTATCCAGGCGCTGGTGGACAGATGCCGTTGGCGCTGTGGCGAAGTAGTTGGCGCCGCAGCGTGGCCAGGCGACGTCGGTGACCTGTCGCGCGGGCGCCGCCGCGGCGATAACAACAGAGCGGGGCGACCTGGCAGGTCCGTGAGCAGACGAAGAGAAGATCGAGTCGGAGGAGTCGGTGGACGCGGCAGCATCTGACCACGATGAATATTTAATCAAGCCCCCCGCAAATGAGCACGCTGTAGGCACGGGCTGATTCGTGAAATTGGGGCCCAACGACGCCGGAGCAATACTGCCCCCCCCGCGGCGGCCGCCGCCGGGGCCTCCGCCGTCGTCGTCGTCGCCCTCTTTCTGATCCTCCCCCTGTTCCTCCTCGCCCTCCCCGCCCTCTTCCTCCGCGCGCGCGAGGCGAAGGGGGGCGCCCGTCTCGCGCCGACTTGATTGGGCTCGCCGTCTCGATTGGAGACGCGTCGAATTACCTTCGCTACTGGCGCAGACAATATCACAATTCCCGTCGAGCAGGGTCGCCCGCCCAGGAGGCACTGCCCGCGGGGGAACATGATCGCTCAACGGCTACCGGCGGGCAACAAAAAGCGAGGATGAATTCCCCGGCGCCCTCTAACGCACGCGGAAAAGGAGGCCCCCGCGCGGCAAACTCTGCCCCCGGGCCGAGGGCTCCGGGCAGCATTCGGCCACAATCGCCAGATTCTAAAGATTCGAGCAAACGCAGGACATCAAAAACAAATTCGCCGGCCCAACGGGCCAGGGCGTGCTAAGATCTCCGGTGCCTGGTTAACAATATTTCAAGTTCGCGCGCGCGGGGCGGCCCCTGGGGGTCCCCGGACGAAAAGTACCCCGGCAAGGTCCCGGCAAGTCTCCAGCAAGGTCGGGCCAGAGATGCCGGAGTTCTGTTACAGGGCCCCAGGACGGGCCAAGAGGTCCCCAAGAAGCCTCCAAGACGGTCCAAGAGGGCCCCGAGACGGCCAAAGATCGCCCGAAGACGCCCAACAGGGCCCCAAGACAGCCCAAGAGGCCTCCAAGACGCCCCAAGGGCCTTCCAAGAGGCCCCCGAAGAGGGCCCCAAGAGGCCAAAATCATTGATTTTCATTGTTTTTTATGTTTTTTTGCGTTCTGTTTTTTTCGGCTTCCGGACGCTCCAAGACGGCCCAAGAGGCCCCCAAGACCGCTCCAAGACGGCCCACGAGGCTCCCAAGACGGCCCCGGAACGGCCCAGGAGGGCCCCCAAGACGGCCCAAGTGCCGCCCAAGACGGACCAAGAGGCCCCAAGACGGGCCCAAGAGGGGCTGAAGAGGGGAACCGAGAACTGAAAAATCGAGCCCTCCGCCCCAGAAGGCGCCCAGGAGGCCCCAAAAAGGCCCCAAGAGGCCCCCAAGAGGCCCCCAAGACGCCCCAAGAGGCGCCCAAGAGGCCCAAAAGATGCCCCAAGAGGCCCCAAAACGGCCCCCAAGAGGCCCCAAAACTCGGCTAGCCCACAACGGTGCGACAATATGGGCCAGCGGAATGAGCGAAGCGATTAAGAATCGTAAGATATCCCCAGGCATGAAACGGAGTAGTCGTCGCGACTCTCATGGACTTGGACGAGTGATCCCAGCTCGCATCAGCCCCCAAGAAATGGGAGCGAGTCAGGGGTCTACGAGTGCATGGCGCGCACTTCTTTTCTCACAATTGGTAGACTGGAGACGGGCGGTCAGGGTCGTGCGTTCGTGCGTCCACGTGTCCTCAATCGTACTGCAGCTTGGCGAATCAGCGCTGCGCGCCTCGGCGGTCCTGCCGGGCGGCCGCCAGCGCCTGGCTTGGCCGCCCATTGTTGGCCGCTGAAACAGCTGGGGCTGATGCAGGTCAGCCAAGAGTGCAATGGTCGCACGTGGGCTCGCGCTCTCAGACTCGCGCGGAACGCCGGGCGTCGTTGAACGCTTGTGCGCGCAAGCGAATGCGACAACGCCCAGTTAACGCGATCGCGCCTTCGCGCGTCAATTGTCTGAGCAATCAATCAATCGCTCAGGGTGCTAGCCGCGTCGTGGTGGACGGGCCTGCGCGCCGAACGGAGGCGGCGCGGCGTCGTTGGGCGCGCAATCGCGCTGGTGGTCTGGCGCGAACGCAGTAGCTCTCGGGGCGCATGCGCGCGACGTCGACGCGCTGTCGATGCGCTCGCCAGCAAGACGCCCGCCCGCGGGGCTCTTCGGAGACATCTGCTGGGGCCGCGCCGCATGATGGCGCGCAAGGCCTGTGGTGGAGTGATCGCTGGCGGCGCCTTTCAGGCTTGGATCGTTGGATACCTGCGCCGCGTGATAATGCGAGCTCTGCAAGTGTGTTGTCGCTGTGATAACGGCTCCCTGGCAGAGCCTGCCGGAGGACTGCGCCGACCGGCGGCGCAAGCCCTGAGGCGGCGCGGCCGGCGGCGGCGGCGCCCAGGCAGGCCGCGCCAGGAGCCCGCGCCAGACGGCGGCGCGGGCCATGTGGCGGCGTAGCCCCCAAGCGAGGCGTGCCGGGAAACCGGCGCGCGTCCCAGACCCGTCGGCCTGACCCACGCGCGTCGAGAAGGGCACAGCTAATCAGGCTCGCTGCTGGCGGCACGGGCCCGCAGCAGATCGCATTCAGAGCCGGCGCGAAGCATGCAATGCATACGACATTTCGTTGCCAGCCATGCGCCCGCGCGCATGCAGGGCCAATGCGCACGCAGTGCCTCCGTCGGAGACTCGAATGCACAGCGATAAAAGACGGTCGGAATGCATTAGCGGGAATGCTTTGCGTTCCGTAGCTGTAGTTGCGCGTCGCACATGCCAACGCCAAAATGCGAACCCCCATGCGAGTTCTAGTTTATCCCGCTCACGATATTGCCCCAAAATGCTGCTGGTCCAAAACATGCCGTCAGTATTGCACGGTTAAACAAATGAGAAAAACTGCCCGCATTTCCGCGACGCGATACACGCACCTCCTGGGGAATCTCCAGGCTGGGCAGGGGCAGGTCGGCAAGGCTCAGAATGCGGCTGCTGATGCCGCTGAGCTCTCCATCTCGACGCAGATCAGCTCCTGCCAGAGCGCGGCGATAACCCGATGCGCGCGAAAAAGCCAAGCTTGCCCTGCGACAGATTCTGCCACGCCGAAAAAGTGCGAGCTGTCTGACTGATTTGCCGCTGTGTTTTGCGTGGAGATCCGCGCTCCACGACCTGAACTACCCAAATCTACCAAATAAGCATTATTGATATCGGGTCCGCGCGCCCTCGCCTCGACGCCAGCTGCAATTCCTCTGAGAACGAGGCTCCACCTCGAGCGCGGGCTTGATTGTAAATGGGTGCCTTTGGGGGGCCCGGCCACAACGGCAACGGCTCCCGCTCGATACCCCCTCACAAGTTACCCCGAGACACCCTGGCCACGGCGCTCTCGCTCGAGACGTCCTCGCAACTCAATCAAGTTGGCGGAGACCCAGCCACAACGACAAGGACTCCTGCTCAACACGTCCTCACGATTTACACCGAGAGCCCCTAGCCAGGAAGGCCCCGAACTCAAGAACGGCGCTCTCGCTCGAGACTGTCTCGCGATTCAATCAAACTGATGGAGACCCAACTACGACGACAGGGGCTCTCGTTTGATACTTTCTCGTAATGTATTCCCAGAGGCCCTGGCCAGAGAGGCCCCCGAACCCAAGAGTGGCGCCCTCGCTGAAAACTTTCTCGCAATTCAAGCACATTGGTGGCGCCCCTGACACGGCGACAAGGGCTCCCGTTGGATATTTTTCCATATGCGTTCCGAGAGCGCCTGGCCAGAGGCCCTCGAACTCAGGAACGGCGCTCTCGCTAGAGAATTCCTCGCACTTCAGTCAGTGGCCGATAAGGAAGATATCCCCCCGAAAGGCGTACGATCGAAGACGAAGTGGGCGGGTATCGAGGGTCGGGGTATACAGAACGCAAGAAACGCGTGCCAGTAAGAGCGAACAATCCTAAACTGATCGTTGTCATTGTTGTCGTTGTCGTTGTCGTCGTCCTTCTGGGTCGGCGGCACCGGCCGCACGGCCTTCACAATGTGTAGCATAGCGGCGGTCCTTTCTCTTCTATCGGTTACATGTCGCGTCGCAACTTGCGCGCACGCATGCTCCTATCAGAAGGAGGAGAGGGGACAGGGGAGGAAACGGAAGAGGGATGATGGGCGATAGCGTCAGCCCCCCCTGCCGACGCCGAGGGCTGCGTCAGCGGCAGACGGGAGGCGGGGGGGAAGGGACGAAAAGAGGAGGGAGGGGCCGAGGAGGGGGGACGCGATGGGCGAGGGGAAGGGACGAAAAAGGAGGCGGGGGGGAAGGGACGAAAGAGGAGGGAGGGGCCGAGGAGGGAGGACGCGATGGGCGAGGGAGGGGCGAGGGAGGCGGGAGGCGCACTGGAGAGCACTGTTCGCGCCAGCCAGCGGCAGGCCAATCGCCCTCCACTCCCTTCCGTGGCGGCGCGCAGAAGGGGGGTAGGGGGAGGGGGGAGGGCTTCTTAGAAGGAGGCTGCTTCTTAGAAGGAGGCTGCTTCTTAGACAAGGCCCGCGCCTTCTAAGAAGCAGGGATGCTTCTAAGAAGCCTTCCCCCCTCCCCGTACCCCCCTGCGCGCGCCGCCAATTTCCTCAATCCCCCTCACACCCTTGCTCCCACCGCCCCTCCAGCCCTGCCTCTCCTCCCAACCACTCCCTCCTCCCCTTCTCCATTCATTTGGATGCCCGAAATGGGTACGGAAAGAATGGGCACAATGCCCAACAGCAAATGTTGTCCCGAACCAACAGCGGCCGCTGTTGGGCAGGCGGCGAATGGACACAGGCCGCGGCGGCGTGGACAGCGAATCCTGCTCAAAATGAACAGGAACTGCTGTTGGGCATTGTACCCATTCTTTCCGTGCCCATATCGGGCGTCCAAAATCCAGACACTTCGCCCCGCCTCGCCGTCCCTCCTTCTTCCATCCCAGTTCCCTCCCATTCCATCCCATCCTTGCGCCTTGCACGTCACTTTCCTGAACGGCGGTCGCCTCCCGACTCGACGAATGCAAGGTTGACTCGTCACGGAGGACTTTGGACGGGGAGAGGAAGAGGACAGGGGCAAGGCGAGGGGAAGAACGGGGAACACGACTGGGAAGCTGATGGGGACGGGCATGGGCGTCCTCCCCCTCATCGTCCTCGCTCGCCCACTCCTCCGCCTCCCCCTCCTCCTCCTCCTCCTCCTCCTCCTTGTCCTCCTCCTCCCAATCCTCGTTGCCGTGGCGAGAGAAGTAGTAGGAGTCAGTGTCCTTGTTTCTCTGTAGCGGAGTCTTGGAACACCACTGCATCAAAGAAAGAATCGAGTGGCACACTGAACACTACACGAATACACCCCTCCTCCCCCATCTCCTCCTCCTTCTCCTCCTCCTGCTATTCCTCCTCATGCTCCTCCTCCTGCTATTCCTCCTCCACCACGGATCACCCGCTTATCAGCAGAATGGGCGGGGGATTGGTCTGGGCGGGCGGTGGAAAGATATCGCCGCCTGGCTCGCGGCAGAAGAAAACGAACTGCCCCCGGCCCTCCATGCCGCAGAGGAGGCCTGGGGAAGAGCAGGGCTGATAGGGGAAGAGGAGGACGAGAAAGATGAGAAGGAGGAGGGGCAGGACGGGGAAGGGTACATAGGAGGGGAGGAGAAATAAGAGAGAGCGAAAGAGAGAGAGAGAGAGATTGTGGGAGAAAAGGAAGAGGGATGAGGGAAGAGACGGCAGACGGGGGAGGAGGAGAGGGCGAGAAGGAGAGGGAGGGGGTGGGATAGGGAAATCTACGACCTGGGGATGATCGGGGCTGGAGAGATTGGAGGCCGAGGAGCAGAGAGGGCGAAGTGTGGGGGGACGGGAAGGGGGGGAAGGGAATGGAAGTGGAAGGGTTCTCCCTTCAAATTCCTAATGCCTAAAACGCTCTCCCTCGCTCTCTGCCGGCCTCCGCTCCCAAACCGTTCCGCTCGGCGCCTTCAGCGTAAAGCACACCCCCGGCAAGCCCTCTGGCATCTTGTCGCGGACTTCCGAGTTCCGAGTTCCCCATTCCGTTCGTCGCTCCCCTTATTCCCTTCAGTATTCGGCAAGGCCCTCCCACACCTCCCCTCCAACGGCAAGCTGGCTATCGCTTTAAGAATCGGAGGAGGGTGAAAACGACCCGGCACGTCCAAAAGGAGCCTGTCGACGCGAGCAGGCGGGCGATGCACGGACCAATCTCACTGCGATCAAGACGGGAAGCGCAGAAGCCCAAACTGGCCAAGCCAGACGCAAGTCCCTGATAATAATACAACTGCCGAGGACACCCAGAAACAGCCGTCATGCTCAGCGCACAACGCATATCTTCCTGGTCACCTCGACAGCAGGAAAATCCGAGTATGACGAGACCGTGACGCCACTTACAAGAAGAGGAACAGGAGGATTTGGATCTGGAGGGGGCAGGGAAAAGGGTAGAGAAGCAGGAGGACGAGCAAGGGGAGATGAGGAGGGCGAGGCGCCAGAGGACGAGGAAGGGGAGAGGAGGAGCACGAGGAGCAGGAGGAGGACGACGACGACGGCGAGGAAGGGGGCAGGAGGAGGAGGAGGAGCAGGAGGAGGAGGAAGAGGACGAGGGAAGACGAGGAAGAAAGCGTAGGCGGATGAGGATGAGCCCCGCAGCGTACGTCCTCTGCTCTTGTGTTGAGGGTGCGCGTCGCCCGCGGCGGGAGCGGCGCGCCGCGAAGCAGTCCCGAGAAACGACCGGCGGGAACGGCCATGCAGCCAAGTCGGCGCTCGCCCCCCCCCCCCCCCCCCGACTGGCGGGAGGCCTCCGCTGACGGGCAGGACGGTCGGCGGCGCGGCAAGCGACCCTCCCATTCCTCCAAACGACAGCGCACGACGGCGTCAAGCCGACGCTCACCGAGAGCGAGAGGTGGACTGGAGGCATCAGCCGTTACCCTCCGCCCGCCAGGTCGAGTGGAGGGGGGAATGAAGAGGGAGGCAGCGGCGCTCAAGACGAGCATGACGGCTGGAACTACAAGGTGGCCTGGGCTGCCACTTCCGCAACTTCTGGCCGGAAGGGGGGTCCATGGCACCGGGCGCGACACCACCAGTCCAATTGTAGCTGACAGAAGGGCGGGAGGGCGGACGAGGGGGAAGAGGGCGAGCAGGAGGGGGAGACGAGGGGAGGAAGGGGAAGAGGGCGAGCAGGAGGGGGAGGCGAGGGCGAGGAGGGGAAGCGGGCGGACGAGGAGGGGGAAGAGGGCGGAGCAGGAGGGCGAGCAGGGAGGGGGAGGAGGGGCGCGACTGCGGAGAGCTCTGGGGGCAGGCGCGGGCAGGCAGGGAGCTCCGCGGGCCCAGGCGGGGCAGCAGGACGAGGGGCCGGGGCGCGCTGGGCGGCGCGCGTCGGGGGGGGGACGCCCCGTCGCTCGGGCGTCCATGCCCCGTGTTCTGTGCGGTTCCGCGCGCGGTTGTTTTTTTCCGCAGGTTGTTCCAGGATGCTCCTCAAGAAAATCCCCGCCGAGGACAAGCGCACCCATCCGAGCGATGCCAAGGGGAAGGGGGAGGTGGGAAGGCCTCTTGGAAGGGGGCTGCTTCTCAGGAGGCGCCGGCCTGACATCTGTAGAGAAGGCCCGCGCCTTCTGAGAAGCAGGGGTGCCTCCAAGAAGCCTTCTCCCCTCCCCCTACCCCCCCCTTGCGCGTGGCCGATACACGGGGCGCCAAAGGCGGGGAGGGCGGGAGGCTGGCCATCTCCGTTCGGCAGGCGGCGCAGCCGGTCGATGTTCCCGTGGCCGTTCGCGTAGATCGCGGCGCCACCTGCGTCGCGGGGGGGGGGGGGCAGGGCGAGCAGTCGCAGGGCGATGAGAGGGAGGCGATGCCTCGGCGTGCAGCTCTGTGGCGTTTGCCTCCTCGTGTTTCTCGTCCGCCGCCTTTTGGTCCTCCTGGTCATCCTGATCCTCCTACTCCTCCTCCACCTCCGCCTCTCCGTCCCTCTCATCATCATAATCATAATCATAATCATAATCATAATCATCATCATCATCATCATCATCATCATCATCATCATCATCATCATCATCATCATCAGCAGCAGCAGCAGCAGCAGCAGCAGCAGCATCAGCATCATCAACATCAGCAGCATCATCATCATCATCATCATTACCTTCACCATCACCATCACCATCACCATCACCATCACCATCACCATCACCATTACCATCGTCATCATCATCATCATCATCATCATCATCATCATCATACTCATCATACTCATCATCATCAGCATCATCATCATTATCAACGTCATCACCATCACCATCACCATCATCATCACAACCACCGCCATCATCATCACCACCAGCATCATCATCACACTCATCACCATCATCATCACCATCTTCGCCAAGCATCATCATCATCATCAAAACCAGCATCTGCATTGTCATCATCACCATCATTAAAATCACAATAATCAGGATCAGCATCATCATCAACATCATCACCACCATCACAATCATCAGCATCATCACCAGCAGCACCATCATCAGAAGTATCAACAACAGCATCGTCATCAACATCAACGTCAACATAATCACCATCATCATCACCGTATCACCGTCCATCATCACCCATCATCACCATCACCACCACAATCATCATCATCATCATCATCATCATCAGCATCATCATCATCATCAGCATCATCATCATCATCCTCATCATCATCATCATAATCATCATCATCATCATCATCATCGTCATCATCAGCATCATCATCACCATCAAGCTACTCATCAGTATCATCACCATCACCATCACCATCGCCATCAATATCGCCAACACCATCGCCATCGCCATCACCATCGCCATTACCAACAGTATCAACATCACCAACACACCAACCACACATCTCACCGACCGGATCATGACCCTCATCAGGATGACCCGTGGCCCCTCCTGATCCGAATCCTCCGTCCCCCCTCCTCCTTCTTCTTTCTCTCGTTATCTCTCTCTCTCTCTATCTATATCTCTCTCTCTCTCTCTTCCTGTGCAGATGTATAAATATATACACACAGATACGTTGATAGCCTCTGCAACATATGTGCATACTCACACAAATCTATACATACATAGATACACAGAAGCAAATGCCCTCCGCCGAGCCCCTGTGGCACGCAGTGGAGAGTCCACAGGTCCCTCGCTCAATACGCCTGAGCCTCGGTCCTCAATCCCGAGGCTTCCCGAAAGGGCTCGTGCCTCTCTCCAATGCGGCGGTGGACAAACCTCCCTTTAATAAACCTGCCTTTAGTGAAAACGGCCCAGGACCAAAACCGACGCACCTGGACCCGCAAAAATGACGGCCGCGACGCCCTCTCGTGAATCGAAAACGGCAAAGTCGCTAATCGACGTGTCAGGGTAGGAGGTCGATCAACCTCCGACAAATCTTTTTGGGCTCACAACGGTCCACGAGGGCCACGACTCGCCGAAAGATCAGTCTAAGACGCCCAAGATGGACCCCCGTCGGCCGAAAACGCGCCCGAGACGCGCCAAGAGGCCTCTAAGAGCACCCCTGGGAGGGCCCCAGGAGGCGCAGATGAGTGATTGCCCGGTGGCGTGGTTTTCAATGCATTAAGGGGTTCTGGACTCTGCAAGCTTCCGACGCTCCTAGAAGTCCCAAGAGGCCCCACAAATCGCCCCAGGACGGCCCAGGAGGTCCCCAAGTGGGTCCCAAGACGGCCCAAGAGGCGCCCAAGACGGCCCAAGAGGACCCCAAGAGGTGCCCAAGCGTGGGAGCCCGCACCGACAATTCGAACCTTCCGTCGCGAGATGCCCCCCAGGAGGCCCCAAGAGGCTCCCCCCAGGAAGACCCCAAGACGCTCGAAGAGGCCCCAGAACAGTCCGCGATATGAGCATCGTTGAACCGATCCCGATCCCCAGCGGCGTCGCCTGGGCCCCACTGGCCGATTTACCCACCTAGATAGGGGATATAGGCCGTTCGCTTCGGGTTCAGAGGGGGTCTCGAATCGGATGAGGATGGGGATGGGGTTCAGGAGGAGGAGGAGGAGAAGGAGGAGGAGGAGGAAGAGGGCGAGGAGGAGGAGGAGGAGAGTCTGCGTCGAGTCGAGAACACGACACCACCACCACAACCACCACCACCAGCGCGAGGGGCCAGGGGGCCATGAGCGTCGAACAGTGTCCGTGTCCGTGCCCTCGCCCACGCGGCGCTACCCCGCGGACACTGCGAGGCGGGGATGTATCCATATTCACCGCCTGGGAACTGACGTCCCAGTGCCCCAGCGGGCAGTGGATATGGATGTATTTTGGCCCCCCAGGGGCCCGAATATGTCCATATCCACCTCCTGCCGAGGTCCCCGAACGTTGATCCTCCAGGCGGTGGTCATGTATGAATGACCACCTCGGATTGAAATCAGGCGAGTTGGTTTTCGTGGAAGCGAGCAGTCGGACCTTAACTGCCCGAAGCTCTCTCGAGGCCGTCTTGAGGCCCTCTTGGGGGCCTCCTGGGCCGTCTGGGGCCCCTTTTTGGAGCCTCTGGGGCCGTCGTGGCCGCTGTTTTGCCTTTGGGGGGCCTTCCCGGCGGCCTCTTGGACCGTCTTGAGGGCCTTTTGTGGTCGTCTAGGAGCAGTCCTCGCCATCGCTCGGACGTCCATTTCCTGTGCATTGGTCGGTTTCGTGCGTGTTTTTGTTGCTCGATGGTCGAGGATGGTCCTCGATGGTTCTCGCCGAAAAAAATACACGTCCGAGCGATGCCAGGAGTCTTGGGGCGCTTTGGGAGCCTCGTGGGCCAGTTTGGAGAGGCCACTGCGGGGGTCCGCGGCCCCTTCTGGGCCCATTCGGAGCCCGCAAGGCCCCCCCCGAACCTCCATGCAAACCAGGGGTCGCTGGGCCCTTTTCCCAGCGTGCTCCGATATGCGTAGATATATATATACATATATATATATGTATATATACACATAAATGAATACATACATACATACATGCATACATACATACATACATACATACATACATACATACATACATGCATGCATGCATGCATGCATGCATGCATGCATACATACATACATACATACATACATACATACATGCATGCATACATACATACATACAGACATGCATGCATGCATGCATGCATACATGCATACATACATACATACATACATACATACATACATACATACATACATATGTGAATATATGTGTGTATATGTATATACATATATATATATGTATATATACGTGTGTATACACATCGATACGTATGTATACACATCGTTCCTCCCCTCTCCCTCTCTCTCCCCATCTCCCCTTCCTGCCTTCCCCTCCCCCGTCATATTCAACTACTGCGCACGACGACAGCGAACAAGACATCGGACATCGACGACGGCAACAGCGGCGAGGATTCCTCCTCCTCCTCCTCCTCCCCCTCCTCCTCCTCCTTTCCTTCTCCTTATGAATAACTGTTCCCTGTCGCACCCCGAGGCCAGTTTTTAGGGCGGGCCATGCGTTTCGCCTGACCCTCACTATTTATGGCCATGAAGCTTGAAAAGTGACACCAGCTTCACAGATGGAGGGCGGGTGGTTTTCAAAATGTGGTTCTCGCCTGAGCGCCGCGCACATTCGCTGTAAAAAATTGCAAGGGGCTTCACGGATTGAGGGCGAGTCGTTTTCAAGATGTGGCTCTCGCCTAAGCGCCGCGCACAGTCGTTTGAAAAATTACAGAAAGTTTACGGGTTGAGGGCGGGTGGCCTTCAAAAAATGTGGCTCTCGCCTGAGCGCCGCGCACATTCGTTTACAACAAATTTCAACAAGAGCTTCACGGATTGAGGGCGGGTCGTTTTCAAAATGTGCCCTCGCCTGAGCGTTAAAAATCTTGCAAGAGCTTCAAGGATTGAGGGCGATTTCTTTTCAAAATGTGGCTCCCGCCTTAGCGCCGCGCACACTCGGCGTAAACATGTGCAAGAAGTTAACGGATTGAGGGCGGTTCCTTTTCAAAATGTGGTTCTCGCCATAGCGCCGCGCACATTCGTTTTAACAATTTGCTAAGAATTTCACGGAATCTCATTATCTACGTACCAGGATTTGTGGTTTGGAAGGATTACGCGGGCGCAAAGACTATGTTGATTAGCAGTGTTTGAAGTCCCAAAAATCGCGTTCTGGCACGATTCCGGATCGTCAAGACGCCGCAGTCAGTTGGGTTCCAACGTGGGTCTGTTAATATAGAGAGGGTCATGAAACAAACGTTGCAACACATATTCTGCGTATCTGTGCATATGCGGTCTGGCATATCGGGGCGGCATCATCGCGACGCCAGCGGGCGTCGCGGACTCGAGCCTTTGGCCTGGAAGCACGAAGCGCACGATTACCCAGATCATGAAGTTCTTCAACCAATCACTGTGTTCTGGGGGTGCGCGGACACGCAAAACACTGTTCAACTAATCGCTAGCTGGCGCCCGCCTCGAACTCATGCCCCATCCCCCGCCTTTTTCCAAATATCCCTTCGCTGCGGCCCCACCCTCCTCATGCCCCCCCGATTGCCCCGGTCCTCATCATGCCCTTCATCTACACTGCCCCCCCCATGTGTTAATTCACGTCGTTCCTCGTCGTCCTCCTGCGCCGGATTCGTTCCCCCATCGTCCACATGCCTGCCCTCCTCCCATCCTCTACGCCCTAGTGCACATCATGCCCCCAACTTCTGCCCTCCCCCACCTCCCTCGCCCTCGTGATGCTGACGCCGATGATGCAAATCCTCCTGGGCTCTCCTCCTCCGCTCTCGTCCAGTCCCGTTCATCCTTGGCCCCTCGGCCACCCCTCCTATCGAACCCCTTCCTTCCCACAGCCCACCATCCCCACCCCCCGCGCCTTTGCATGCCCAGACCACGGCCCCCTCCTGGACCAGCCAGGAGACCCGCGGAAACTCCCGCCCAGTGACCACCCCAGCGAGAGGCGCGCAACAAATGCACAGTTGGAGACACGAACTGTGTATTTCGACCGCGCACGACGCCGCCCCTGGACCAGCCGGAAGAGAAACGCGAAAGTTCCCGCCCATCCAACACCACCCGCGAGGGGCACACTCCAAATACACAGATGGGAACGAGATCTGTGTACACAGATCACACCACGATCTGTGTAAACAGCGGGCCCACACACGAAAATACACAGTTGAAGACACAAACTGTGTACACAGATCACACCTTGATCTGTGTATTTCGAAAAGGTGAACGCTCGCCACCTCGAGGGCGCCCCGACTTTGCCAACCCAGAACCGAGGTCGACATGCCCAGCTGGGGGGGGATGCAAATACACACTTCCCCGGCCCAAGGCGCCCCCGAGAGAACCGCAAATACACGCTCCCCTGGCCCAGGGCGGCCGCGGTGCAACGCGGCGCCGAAGCGGCCCCCAACGGCCCGAAGACGTCCCAAAAAGGCTTCGAAGGACCCCAAAGAATGCCGCGCAGCAATCCGAAAACACGAGAGATGTCACATGTCAAGGACCTCTTAACAGTCAAAGCTCCACGCGTCGCCATATAGATCACTGCTCTGGCAAGGGGGGCGGACCTTGCCGCAGGCACTTATAATTTACATGTTAGCGATGCGACTGTGCTCGGCGGCCGTGCCGCCCACATTTTGGGTGCGCCCCGAAATCTCGCATTGGCAATCCCCTCTGTTTGGTTGCGCCGCTGTGCTCGGATATCGAAAAAGCATTTACCGTTGACGCGGGCACGCGGCGCCAAGGACTTCACTTTTCGAACAAGGAGGGTGGACGAGGTAGGACGACGGATGGCGGAGCAGGGCGGCAAAGAGGAACGAGGAATAATGAGGGAGGTGGGGAGGGGCTCTCCCCCGCCCGAGCCGCGGACGCTTTCGACACCATCCGGGGGAGGGAGTAAAGGAAGGGGAACGGAGCAAGGGCGAGGACGACGACGGGAAGCAAAGTGTCCTGGGTCCGCATATAGCCATATGTCTGCGATTCGGGTGCGCGCGCTTTCTTCGAGGCACTTCAAGCCGGACCCATACTGAATTCACTAATTCCTCAAAACTGTGTAAACACTCTGTCCTCTGTTCCCTCTCCTATACAACGGCCTCGTAACAGAGGGGCAGTGGATTCCAAGCAGTCAGGTTCATACGTGGCGTTGAAATACAGAGAACAATGTTTTGGCACGCTTCAGGATCTTCAAACGGTTGTGTTCCAACAAGGCAGTTCCCCCAATGGAAATGAGACGTTGTAGGGGCCTGTGAAGAGGGAGCTTGGAGGGAGGGTTTATTCCAACATCGTTGATGACTCTTGGGTTTACACTGGTCCTCCTCCGCCTTCTCATTCGGCACCAGCGAAGCTTGCGACAACGACAACGGCGACGACCATCTTGCGAACACGTGATCTATCAAGCTGGTTCGACCTTCGTTTGTCTATGCCTCGCCCTTGCTTCCGCCCAAACTCTCTTCTTGGAAGGATTGTTGTTCATACCAACTCCTTGGAGAAACATGCGGCAATGTACTCCGTGTGCGCACAGCGACGGCATGGCCGTCAGGCGAGCTAACGCGCACGCGGGTAACTCATCAACTCAAGTGAATTGCGACTGAGTCTCCGTAGAGAAAACCGCTCGTGAGTTTGGGGGCCACCTCGGCGTATCAGAGTGAGCTGTGAGAAAATATCGAGCGGGAAACGTTGTCGTTGTAGCTGCGCTTTCACGGAATTGAATTTTTTGCGGGACGTTTCGGGCGCGAGAACCACTCCTGTGTGATAATGTATATGGTATACGACCAAGGAGCAAGCGAGCAGATTGCGAAGATGCACCGGGAGGGGCCTTCACATAACTTGAGTGGATTGCGAGGATGTCTCGGGCGAGGGCGCCGTTCCTGAGTCAGGGGGCCTGTCTGGCCAGGGCGTCTCGCAATAAACTTCAAAATGCCAGCCAGGACCCGTTGCCTTCGCAGTGGGGCTCTGCCAACTTGGGCGAAATGCGCGGAAGCTTCGAGCGAGAGCGCCGTCCCTGAGTTCGGGGGCCTCTCCGGCCAGGGCGTCTCGGAAGACATTGGAAAGATGTATCGAGCGGGAGCCGCTGTCGTCGAAGATTGAACTTCAGAGTCCGGGATTGGGAACCAAACAGATCCGCGCTCGAGCGGGAGCGTCGCTTCCAAAGGACACCTAGCCACCATCCAGGCGAGAGCGCCCGGAATCGCCTCCATAGATGAGCCACCGATGTTGTGCAGGACGTGAACGTTCGACGACGGCGACGCCACCGACGACGACATCGACGACGACGACGACGACGACGACGACGACGACGACGACGACGACGACGACGACGACGGCGACGACGACGACGGCGACGGCGGCGGCGGCGGCGGCGGCGGCGGCAGCGGCGGCGGCGGCGGCACCGACGGCGGCGGCGGCGAGGGGAGGGCGTCGTCGGGCGCCCGCCGAGGCCGCCCAGCGCGACCGCGAAGGCGAGCAGCCAGCCGGGGTCGGTGCAGCTGCGCTCCGCCTCCGAGGGGGCTCGCGGGGGGAGGGGGGGGCGCCGGCCATCTGCGGGGGGGGAGGCAGGGGGAGGGAGGGAGGGAGGCTCCTCCTCCTCCTCCTCCTCCTCCTCCTCCTCCTCCCTCCTCCCTCCTCCTCCTCCCCTCCTCCTCCCCCTCCCCTCCCCCCCCCTTCACTCCTCCTCGTCTCATTCCTCCTGCTGCGACCTCCTCCTCTTCCTCTATTTCCTGCTCCTCCTTACTCCTCCTTTCCCTCCTCCTCTCCTCCTTCTCCTCCTCCTCCTCCTCCTCCTCCTCCTCCTCCTCCTCCTCCTCCGACGACGACGACGACGACGGCGACGGCGACCCGGCGACGGCGATGGCGACGACGATGACGACGACGACGACGACGACGACGACGAAGCCTCCAGCGGCGAAGGGCTGGCCGCGACGAACGCCCTGGTAGAACGGCTCCCCGGCGCCCTCGAGACGCGCTGCGGGGGAGCGAGGACGGCGACAAGAAGGAGGAGGAGGAGGAGGAGGAGGAGGAGGAGGCAGACGAGTAGTAGGGGGAGGAAGAAAAGGCGGAAAGGAGAGGAGAGGGACGACGAGGGAAGGACGAGAGGGGAGGGCGACAAGGGGAATAGGTGAGGGGAGGGAGGACGACGAGGTGAGGAGGAGGAAGAGGAGGAGGAGGAGGAGGAGGAGGAGGAGGAGGAGGAGGAGAGAGGGGGCGGACCAGCAGGAGAAGGACGAGAGAGAGAGTGGGAGGGAGGGAGGAGTGGGCAGAGATGTGGAGGAGCGGACGAGACGAACACACATTGACTGGGGATGGGGTAGGAGAGAGAAGGGTTGAAGGGGCGAGGAGGAGGAGGAGGAGGAGGAGGGGGAGGTGAAGGAGGAAGAGGAGGAGGAGGAGGAGGAGGAGGAGGAGGAGGACAAGGAGGAGGACAAGGAGGGACCAGAACCCTAGACCTCATCTTTCAACGCCAACTTTCCAGCATAATCAACCTGCAATGGTCCCCGGGCCCGCGACAAGGAACAAAAAAAAAACGCGACGCCAGGATCTCAGGGGACTTGTTCACCGCGAGCGAGGTAAGGCGAGGAGGGAGGGGCGAAAGCAGCGGACTGAGACACGGCGCAAGGCGGCTGCCAGGGCGACCGCGAGCAGCGGAAGGCCCGTCCAGTGCGCTCCCAAACATTTTTACATCGCAGCGCGGGAGAGGCAGTCAACACGTGCGCTCAGGCGGCTTGGGCAAACTGCGCTCCCGACATGCTACGTCGTGCTTGTTCTTTTCATGACGGGAGCCTGGGAAGCTTCGACCCCTTTCCCAGGGCAGGTTGTTCATGCCGAATCGTTTTTAGGTGAACGAACAATGACAGAAACATAAAAACTCGGAGGTTCGCGCGGATTACTCCGATCGGCGCTGACCCCATCCATGGCGCGCGGAGCGCGCCAGGGGCGGCCCCGGCGCCGCCAGGGGGGTCCAGCGCCGATCGGAGAAATCCGCGAGGAACTCGAGTTTTTATGCTTCTGTCATTCTTCGCTGCCCTATTTTCGAATGCGTGCGCATGGATCGGCTACACGCAAGAGTGACCCTGGGAAAGAGTGACCTGTGGTGCGCGGCTTTCTAGGGGCCCGGGGGGGACCAAACCCTGGGCGCGCAAGCCGCTGCTCCTGCTTCGTTTTCAGCCATCTGGGGACCCATCTGTGCCCGCACCAGAGGTCACTCCGGCGAAAGGTCACCCTTACGTCTAGTCGAATGGAGCCCGGCGAGGGCCGCCAGATGCCGACAGCGACCCAAACATCCTCCCGCACGCCCGGGCCCCGCTCCGCGTGCCGCCCCAGGCCCCCTTCCGCCTATAACCCACGGCCTCCGGGGCACACGGCTGGGCACCTCCCGCCGCCGCGACGGGCGACGGGGGGGGCCGGCCCTGGCGGCACTGAAGATCCAATCAAACAGCCCGAATGTGTGAGAGACTCTCCATTTGACCGTCTATTCGAATCGAATGCATGACGACAGCATTGAATTATAATATTAGAAAGCCAATTTTAGAAATGACAAATGATATTTAGAAACGACACACCAACACCAGATTTTCTTCTGTCTACCAGAAATATTAATTTCGGCTGCGACGACACAGACGCCTCCGCCGCACGTCGCCAGGCCGCACTGGCCAGGGCCCACCCTCTCAGGCGCCGTCGGCGGACCGCGCACCGGAGCGCGCCGGCTCGGATACTTGGCGGCCCATGGTCCCCTCTGCGCGTGGCCGCTCCTCCCCCCTCGCACGCACCGCGTGGCGCTCCCCGCCCCCCCGGCGGGTTCCGGGAGCCCTGAAAACCCCCAGTCGTTGCCATCTCCGCGGGGGCGCAGCTTCTGCCTCCGCCGCCTTTTCCGCTGCAGCCTCCCGCTGGCCTCCGCCGGCAGAGGCGCCCCCATGGTTTCCTTCCGCACGCACACACGCGCGCGCTCTGCCGCCAATGATCGTTCCTTGCGTTGACATGAAACATACGGAGCCTGGCGCGGAGTTCTTGAATGTGCACTGGGCCCCCTGGCGGCGCCTCCGCCGCCGCCTCTGGCACGCTCCGCGCGCCAGAGGGGCTCTAAACTGCCGTGCAAACGGCGCTGGTAGAGGCACTATGCTAAACCAGAAGCCCGACGAGGAGCGAGCACAGGCGGCCTCCGCCACCCTCCCGCCGCCCGCCGCGCGAGGAGGGCGCGGCAGCTCCTCCGAGCCTCGCAGGCGAGGCCCTTGCTGGAAGGCCCCCGAGGGACCTCTGCCCCCGCCGCCCCGTGCTCCGCCCTCGGCTCCTCCCTCCCTCGGGGGCGCGCACACGTCCGCCCTCCTCTCTCCTCTCTCCTCTCTCCTCTCTCCTCTCTCCTCTCTCCTCTCTCCTCTCTCCTCTCTCCTCTCCTCCTCCTCCTCCTCCTCCTCCTCCTCCTCCTCCGCCTCCTCCTCCTCCTCCGCCTCCTCCTCCTCCTCCTCCGCGATCCATGGACTTGGCCCGCGGCCGCCCAATCCATGGATCGGGGGAGGTGCCCTCCCCAAAGGGCGGCCAGTGCCGCCTCGCTCGGCGGCGGACATCCGCGATTTCCCATGGAAACGAGACCCTTCGCTGATCCACGCCCCCTCAATCCATGCTTGCGATCGCCTGACTCCCCCCCCCCCTCGCACCACGCCCGCCCCCCCGCCCTCCCTCTCCCTCCCCGCCACCTGCCGCTCCCCCGTCCCGAGAGGGGGCGTCGCATCAATTCGGGTGGGCTGGCTCGGTCCTCGCCCTCCCTACCCCTCCCCTGACTACATACCAAACCAACCCAACCCAACCCGAAGACCCGACTTGCGGGTTGCGGGGGGTGCGGGCTGCATATGTATTTTTCAATCTTCCCCGACCCCCCCAACTGGAAATGGAGGGCCAATCGGGGCCTTCGGGTGGGGTTGGGGTGGTTTGGTGGGCGGTGATCTCCCTCCCCGCCCCCTGCCACTCCCCCGTCCCGAGAGGGGGCGTCACGTCAACTCGGCCGCGCTGGCTCAGTGGGGGAGACATCGACATGAGCGACAATCAAAACTCGGGGATGGACAGACCCCCCTTTAGTAAAACGTGGTTTAGTGAAAACGACCTGACGCCCAAACCTGGCGGGCGCAAGCCTGGAAAATAACGGCCACGGCGCCCTGACGAGAACCGAAAACGGACAATTCACTAATCAACGTGTAACTGTTGGGGGTTCTGTCCACCCCCGAAAAACCGGGCTTTGCGCAGTGTGGCATGGCGACCTCACGCGGTGGCTCGCGCGGGCCGCCCGCGCGGCACGCTGCGCTCGAAGCGAGGAGGGCCCTAGCGCGCGAGCTCAACGCGGGCAGCCTGCGCGCCGCTGTCGGCGCAGACGACCCCGCTTTTTGGCGTCGCTCACGTGGAATCGGCGATACAGTCGGGGCGTTGACCCAAGGAACCCTAAATAAGGAACGAGGCCCCTTTGCTCCATAAGTTAAACTTCGAGTTTCCATCGAAAACATTAGGAAACCCTGAGGCAAGCTGTGAAACAATCAAGGAACGCGGAGCCCCTCCCCAACGAAAAGGGTTCCTTCTTCAGGGCCCCGACTGTACGTCGCCGATCTGTCGGCGATGGGACCCCAGTGGCGGGGTGGGCGAACTCCCCGGCCCCCTCGTCGGCGATCCGTGGTCGACGGGGGGCCGCTGCATCCCCTCCTGGGCCTGCCCCCCCCGCAGCGCTGATCCTGGTGAGAGGCCACCTGCGAACCCTGCTTCACCACCCCGACGACTTCTGAGGGAGGAGGTGGAGCTCGCTCCGCTCAGCACGTCCCGAGCGGAGTGAACCCCACCTCCCCCTCAGAACTCCTGGGGTGGTGGGGCAGGGTTCGCATGTGTGGCTTCCCCCCGGTCCTCACCCTCTGGAGGGCCGCGAGGAAGAGGCGACGGAGGCCTGCTCGCTCCGGCAAGGGGGTCTCCAGGGCGCCGCGGGGCGGGAGCGCTCCCGAGCAGCCGTCTCGCACGGGACGGCCAATCGCAGCCCACGGAATCGCCACGCATGGCCTCCTCCGTCACCCTGCCTGCTTTGCTGACAGGGCCTCTCCACTCCGTCACCCTATACCGATGACCCAGGACGGACGAAAGAGGGGATAGCAAAGGTAGGGGACCACATGCGAACCCTGCCCCTACCCCCCACGACTTCTGAGGGGGAGGGTGGGGTTCACTTCGCTCGGGAGATCCCGAGCGGAGTGAACCCCACTCCCCCCTCAGAAATCGTGGGGGGTAGGGGCAGGGTTCGCATGTGGCAATCTAAAAGGGGGGGGGTTAACGAATTGGCCGCATGCAGCAGGGCTTCCCGGTGCCTCCCGGCGCTCGCGGCGACCACGTGCCGAGGAAGGGGCCCCGAGGCGGGACCGAAGCCGCCTCCACGCGGCGGATCTCGGACCCCCTCCTTCCCGCTTCTCCCCGAACCTGTCCTCGGGAACGCTCTTCCCAGAACTTCGAGGAGAATCCAGCCGTGGTGGCGAGGGCTCGCCAGAACAAGCAGCGGTGGCATCCGTACCCTCGCCATCCTCTGACGAATGCCCCTCATCCTGCTGGGGGCGTGGCAAAACGCGGGTCCTCATCCATAGAGACGACACGCCCGGCGCGCGCCCACCCAGCCCCTTCGAAGCCGAAACGGCTCGCCCGGCGACCGGGACCCCCACCGCGCTGCTGACCGAGAACCTCCGCCTGCCTTACGTCAGCGGAGGAGGGCACCAGCAATGCGCCTACACAGACCTCAGCATGCAAGGGGTCCCGTCTTGCCTACAGAAGCACTGCTGAGACAAGGAGCGCTTATTCAGAAAGAGAAGCCCACTTTGGGCGCCAAATGCGCCTGGGTTCACGAGGAGGGCTGAAGGAACAACCACGAAAGGACAGCAGGAACAGCGAGCCCCTTTCGAACCCAAAGCGGTCCTCATCTCAGCGTCTCAACTATACCCCTCCCATGGGAAGGGGCTGTAAAAGGGGGAAGCTGGCCCAATGGGGGCGATCATTGACTTGGAATCGGCGATGCCTCGCTGCTAAAGATCAGCGAGAGGCCCTCGAACTGCGCAACCGCGCGCTTCCGGGCGCGGTGGGGCGCGCAGGCCACGACCGGGCAGTTGAGAGAGAAGAGCAACTGCTGAAACATCGACTCTCGGAGGGCCTGAAATGTCTGAGTCTTAGCAATTGAGAGAGAAAAGCAACTACTTAAACATCGACTCTCGGAGGTCCTCAAATGTCTTAGACTGGCGCTGGACCCCCTGGCCGCGCAGACCTTCGAAAATCGATGATCACACGCTCTTCCCCAGACAAGGCTTGCACTTATGGTTTCCCACTTCTGTTCTAAGGCGTTGGGCTGGTAGGCCGCTCTGTCCGCTATGTTGCCGCCGTCGCCGCCTCGTCGCCGCCTCGTCGCCGCCCGTCGTCTGGGCCGGTTTGCCGCTCAGGTGGTTGTTGCCGCCGTCGCCGTCTCGTCGCCGCCCATCGTCTGGGCCTTGTTGTGCATTGCGGTGCACTGTCTGCATGGCTTCGAATGCCTGCGCATTGCAAATTGCATTTTGTTCCCCACCGGACAGGTTGGGGTCGTTAGATTTTAAGAAAAAGCCTCCCGGCCATTCCTACCCTGCATACCGCGGCCGCCAGACCCCAAGTTGTCCCGAGTGACCCGCTTATCCCTCCTCGCGCCCTCGACAAACGCGACAGAACACAGCCTGCATACCGCGGCCGCCAGCCCCCAACTTGTCCCGAGTGTCCCAATTATCCCTCCTCGCGCCCTCGACAAACACAACAGAACACACCCTGCATACCGCGGCCGCCAGCCCCCAAATTGTCCCGAGGATCCCGGGTATCCCGCCTCGCGCCCTCGACAAACACGACAGAACACAATATGACATAACAGAACATGACAGAACAGAGCAAGAGCATGACAGAACGTGGCAGAACATAGCATGTCAATGTCATGACAAAATAGAGGACACCAACACATCACACAACATACCAGTGCAGAACCTGACAGAGCGGAAAACGACAGAACTCAACATAATATAACATAGCAGATCATAGGCACAATGGTATAACAGATCGCATCATGGCACAGCGTCACCAAACAAATCATGAGACGACAGCGGAGCATAGCGGCGAACTTGTCAGAACGCAACATGTCACACAATAATATACCATAACATAACAGGAGCATGCCATAACAGGACATAACATAACACAACAATGGCATGACAGACGAGAATATGGCATAACATCACAAAACACATCAGCTCATAGCATGGTATGACAGAAGGCGACATAACACAACATATAACATAGCATAACCGAGGCACGCATCAGACACCTTGGCCCACACGTCCCATATACTTGCACTTCGTCGCAGAACACATCATAATACGACAGTGTATCAAATCAGCACATACTAGCATAGCAGGTCACAATGTATTATAGTGTGCCGAGCCGTCCACAAACACAATATCACACAGCATACCAAAGCAACACCTGACAGAACAGAAGATGGCACAACGCAACAACACGTAATATAACCGAGCATAACATGATACGCTACGGCAAGACACATCATGCCATGACACAATATCACATAACATATCATACCACGGCACACGAACATTGCGAAACACACTAGCCCAAAATAGCATAAGATGATGTACTGAGTCGAGCCGTCAACAGCATCACGGAGCAGAGCATACTATGACTTACTATGTCAGCATATCAT